ATAAACATTCAAGCCCCAGTTATCACGTATCGGTTCTTATACGAAAGCATTGGCGATTATGATGTTGGAGGTCATGTGGCTTTACAATATAAAGCTATTATAACGATAACTATTACCTAACTAATTCCGAAAAACCATTATACTGCCATTACTGTCAATATTTTCCGTGTTCTATAAAAAAATATCAGGTGGGTAATGACTGATATCGTTAAAATGGTTGATTGGAAAATGTCATGGCTATCACATAGGTATTGCATAATACATTTAGTAATGTATGCCTATCTTCTTACTGCAGTACGTATTATTTCGTTAAAATAGATTTGAATAGAATTCGAAGTGAATTTAATAAAGTGATTTTAAAAAAAATATATTTAATTTTTTATTAATTATTGATCATTGGTTATTTATTAGTGTAATAGCAGGGTAATTAATAATTGTGACAGATTAAATTAAAATATCTAAGAAAAATATATATGGCTTATTTGCCTGATATCGTTAGGAAATGTTAACATGAACTAGGTAATGATACCAATTCATTCCGCTATTAGGAATTGTCATCATTTCCTAAATGTCAACATTTCCGGTAACATATATATTATATATTTTAAATAAGTTCTATTTTTATGTATAATTGTCATAAACTCGTAGTTTATTTTCACAAGTGTATTAATAATAAGGAAAACAATCACCTAATAGTGATTATTTTCTTTGGTTAGGTTATTGATAAATCATCATTGTTAATATTTGTATTAGAAAAAATTTCAATGTTTCACGTTTTTGTAAAATATTTCATATTTCAAGCACTAAATATATTTAGTGTATTTTTATACAAATAGACTTATAGACAATAGTCTTATGTAACCTTCCACTGGAATATTTAAAATGTAAATATTGACCTCTAAAAAGTATAACTTTCTTCAAAATAATTATTTATTTCTAAGTTATAGAAGGTAATACAGATGTTATACCTGATATTTACGATTTAATAGGGCATACTTACTTAGTTTATATGACATTAAACATTTTCATGCTTATATTAAAAGTAAAACTTTACTCAAAAGCCTTTGTTAATTCGTAATTTATTAAAATATAATGAACTAATTAGTTAATAATATCCTTTAATAATAACGGTATATTCTATTTTCAGATTAAAAACTTTTCATTATTATTATTATTTTTATTGCATTATTATTTTGACACGTTTTTAATATATTCTTATTTGAGGGTAAATATTCTGCGAACGCTTCTCTCCCGTGTAGCAATATCACAAAAAATAATATTTTATTATTTGACTAGACTAAATATTATATTTAACTATCTAGGACTTATTTTTGTAATATAGATCATTATTATTATTTCAATGTTGTAGTTTTATGTATTAGAATTAAGGTTTTTGAATTAGAAATATATTTTTTTAATCTTCTTAAATAGACTATGAAAATGTTTTATTTATTTTATAATATTATGTTTCCTAATATATTGTAATTATACATTTATTAATTAATAATTGTTACACATATCAATCATTAACAATTAATGATTTATCAAAGTTGATAGTAGTGGTTCTGGAATAATCTTGTTAATGGTGTTTAAAGTTTTAACTAATTTTGAATTGAAAAACTAAATACTACTTCTGAAATAATCATTAAATAATATATTTTTTTAAATATAAATAAATGTTTATTTTCATATAAAATGTCATGTGTTATAATTTTCCGAGTTTGTGACTTATGGCGTAATTACTTCATGAGTTATAAATATGTATAAAGCAACGAATACATTGCATTAACGGTTTGTCTTTGTGTCATACAATAAACATGGGCACTTTTAAACATTTATAACTTTCCTTTTTAAGTTTTATTTTTTATTTTTCATATAAATTAAATATATCAAGAAAATACATTTAAACAAAATTTAAAACCATGATGTAATATTACTATTTATTTTGTTTTGTCTTAAAAACATATAACCTTATGAATTACAAATTATGCTCACATCTAATCCATTAATAATGAATTTATTAAAATTCTGATCTTCAGAATTTTCAGATGTAACTTAAAAGACTATAGTATTTTAAAATGCTTGAGTTTATTTTTTATGGAATTTCATAATATGGTTATAAACAAATCTTGTTTTTTAAATCAGAACTTCACTTTTTTACTTTAAACTATTTATTGGATATTTTTTCCGTCCATAATCCTTATTTCACTAAGTTCAATTACTCAAAACAACAMGTTCGAATTTTGATTTTAACGCTTCAACATTTTCTGAAAAATTAACCGATGAATAATTTTTGGTTGAATAGTGGATTTTTATATTTTTAAAACAAAGAAAGTATCTTATCTCTATAGAAAACTCCTTAAGAAGTAAGTACAACAAATTTATAATATTTTTAAATAATATGGTCCTTAAAAATTCCAAAAACTATATCTTGAATAACTACATCATTGGAGAATCACGCTGTATAATATATTCAATATAAAATACAATAGAATATTATTCAAGATATGGATATATTTATGAAATGAATGTACGTTTCTAGAAAAGAAAGAATTCACTTAGTGCATATGCGACATACTATACAATATTCAATGATATAAGCGTAAAGAAGTTAAAAGAAGCTTTATACATGATTATCATGATGTATATTTTAGAGAAAACGCTACGAAACGTTGTTGACAAGTGAATGTATTAGGTGCTTTTACTTTACAATAGATAAGAACTCTAAAGAAATATGATATTACGCTAATCGGGTATAACGATGGTTTATACATCATTGTGTGAGAAGATTACTGTATAAATTACACAGTGTTTGTTTATTAAGTTCATCATTATGCTATAGTTCATGGTACTATGTTTAACATGGTCACCAGGAGATAACTAAATTTAATGTTTKATAAGCTATTATGCACACATAAATATGGGGTATCTGCAATACAAACCGATGGTAAAGATTGATGTAGGATTAATTTTACCTGATGAACATAAATATAAATACTGCATTTAAAATATATATTGTAATGACGCACGTTTATAATATATTATGTTCTGCCAAACGTCATAAACAAACTACACTTTACCTATATTAATTCTATAAGTATTAAAAACTTTAAATAATTACCTAAAGAATAACATGTTTTTAAACTTTAAACTTAGAATGAATCACAGTTGCTAAAAAATTATTCTGAGAATTCCCCAATTAGCTATAATATATTATAATATGTTATTTATTAAATACTATGTAGTTAATAATAAATTATAAATGACTTCTAATATTATTATTATTTATTTTACTGAGTTTAAGTTTGAAGTTAAAAGTTTAAGAATTATTCAAATGAAAATGGATAACATACATTTTTAAATGAAATAATTTCATATTTTATGTTTTATTTAAATGTCAAAGGACTCTTTGGGGTCAAACATGTAACCAGTAATTTATAGTTATAACTTTATGCATTAAACATTATTTTTCTTAAAATATTCAATCAAATAATTTTTGAGCTTAGAAAATTATGCACGTGTTATTATTAGCATGGATAATAAATGGAAAATTTCAGAAACCAGGAATGGTTAGCACAGGCACCCACAGAAATGTTTCAAGGAAGATTAAATGTGATTTAAAAGATGAATGACGATACTTTTATAAAGAAAAATCTTAGCTTTATTATATTACTATTATACCATAATGAATAGGTTTAAAATATACAAATTATATATTATTACATTATTACGTTATTATAAAATAAATGTTTTGGGAAACGGAATAAAAAACATAAGAGTGGGTAGGGATTTTAGCATCTTTGGGGTGTGCTTGATTGTTAGTGTGGTTGAAGAATCCTCAATGACACAAATTCGATATTACTTTACAATGGGTAATAGTACAGTCAAATAATAAAATTTACTTTGTTTTCAATATGACTAATAATTTATTAGTATATTAATTGATCTTAACTGTGCTAGAAAAATATGAAGAATTAAAAAATTCCACTTCTTATGCACTTGCACTTCTATGACGTGTTCTGTTTATAATAAAATACAGGTAAACGATAAACGTGTACAAGTATTATATTATTATGTAATGTGTAATGATACTTAAAACTTTTGTAAAGTAGTCGTTCGATATTCACTTTATAAATTTATAAATTTGAATAAAAAAATGTTTATTATTTTGATCAGTAGGTACTATTGTTCAATTAATATTAATATTATGTTTTTGTTTTCATTTGACAATTTAAATATATATTTTTTTTTTTTTTGAAATCCAATTAAATATTAATTTATGCTTTAAGTAATATAATCAGTTTTTGTAGTTATTTGTTCGCTTGACTTTTGTTAAATTTCCATGGATCGATTATTTCGGTATTATCAAGTTTCACCGCAAATACCGTGTTTGACGAGTTTTGGTTTATATTAGTAGCATACCTATGGTTAACATGACGCAAAGCAGTTTCTAACCACGTGGGACGTGACTGTAAATAACTTAGATTATATAGCTGAGTTAACTTCCCAAATTTTGTTTAAAAAATAGACAAGTATTTGTATAAATAGTATATATTATGTATACAATATTTTATGCATAATATGCAATTAAAAGTACAAATTATTATAAAATGTATTTCAAATGAATTATGCGATAACATTTTATTTTTATTTTTTTTTGTATTGATCAAATACAACTTCATCATTTAAGGCTATTATTTAAAGTTTTATCTTATTTTTATAGAAGTATGAATACTTGAAAATATAAAAATATATTCTGTTTTTTTTTTTTTCATTGATGTAAGATATTAGTTGTACTTATCAGATTTATTTATCAAACCCTGTTTCACCATGTCTTAAATTGTACATTCTATCTTTTGTTTTTTTCGTGTTATCGAGAACCAAGGAGGGGACTGCTTTTAGCATAGCTTGCTTCCTCCCAATAATATTGTACATTCTATCTACTTTAATTTAATTATCGTTACAAACAAATATATAACATTTATTTACTTTATTTTCAGATCTTATGGTCACAACAACAGTATGAGCTCAAAAGATTTAAAAGAGATTTTGTGCCAACTCGAAATGTTACAAAACACATTAGTTCAAAACAAACACTACGGTTCCCTGATCCATTATTTGTTGATCAATGGTACTTGGTGAGTTATTTTAAAACTATTTTATAAACTATTCATTTACATAATAAATATGAAACTGATTTTTCTATTTTTCAATTATTTAATATATATATATATATATATATATATACATAAGATATTAAGATGCCAAAAATTAAATTACAATATTGTATGTGATATATATATAAAGTACGCCTTTTATTTAAGAATTTGTTTGTGGTGACATTTAAAGTTGAATACTGATTGATTAACTATCTAAATTTCTTTCGTACTGTATCAAAAATTTAATGCTTATATAAGTTTGTGTAAGCGTAAGAAATAACTATGAATACTAGTTTGAAATTGTTGAAGAAATTTCCCATACATTAATGTGCTATACATCTACACTAAAATATTTTACTCAACCTATCAACAAGATTATTCACAGACAATCATCAAAAATCATTGTAGTAAACCCAATAAATTATTGGTGTTAAAACCTTAGTCAAAAATTGCATAATGCATGTATATTATAATTTTGTATAAATAATATACAAATAGGTATAATACCAAATAAAACCTATTATCTTCAATGTAAGAAAAAAATTATTAATAATAAAAAAAATTGATCATAAACTTGGTATTTATAGGATTAGTTGCATCTCCACTAATTTGCATTGCTTAGAATATTGTTTTTTTAACGCCCACACGACCTGTTTTTATAACTATGATTATTAATTTAAATTTTTTTCTGATTTGTAAATTCTTTAAAACGTAGCGGACTGTATCTTTTTTAATAATAATTCATCTAATTATTACTAATTTTTATCTATTTTCAAATGTAAAAAAAAATGTATCTTTTCAACACTAAGTAAAGATGACATACGTCAGTAATGTAACATAAAAACATAAAAAAAAAAAATGAAAAAAAATGAAAAAAAAAATGAAAAAAAAATAATATTATTTTTATACTCAATAAGAAATCAAGCTTAAAATATAGGTAGTTGATACAAATACAAAATGAGTGAATTTCTTAGTTTTTCTTTTTTAATCAGAATATTCATCGCAAGTAATTATAATCCAAAAATATATAAATATATTATTCATAGAATAATATTTATCTTCTGAATATATATATTATGTTTATGATATGCGTTATTATTATTATTATTATTTTTTTTTTTTTGTTAAAAATATAATAAAATTATTACTTTGATGTTGTTTTCTTTTTTAAATCAAGCAGCAAAAATTACTTATTAAAAATAATATCAGTTTAGACGATAATATTATACTATACCTACAAAACTAATACGTTTTTTGTCAGATATATTCATTATGTATAAAAAAAATAAAGTAACTCATTATATATGACCCTCTACAAAAATAAGACCTTTTATTTCTTAAAAAAAAATTGATTTGTTTTTAGTGTCTATTATAATAGACACTAATTAGTGGTATTCTTTTTTAAAATTGTAAAGTTTAAATGTAGCTATTTCCTGTGAAATTGAAATTATTATTATTATTATTTTTTATAAATTACTTAACAGGTTTAATCGTGCATTAGTTTTACCTGGCATATAGCACGACTATAAATTGTAATAATTCAGTCATAGAAAACAACATCAATTTTACAACTTTTAGATTATATAATATTCAAACTCATAAACAAACCTAAACATTTTCATAACAATTTTTTTAAGAATTAATTTAGATTCACCTAGATAAATTATCAATTTTTAATAACTAAAAATGTATTTTGGTGGTCTGATAAAATTTTAAATTTGAATTTATTTACTATRTATTAGTGAAGTAAGAACAATCCCAATTTTTAATTAATAAGAATAATAAAATAATGTGCCATTACTCTATTTTAAACATTTTATATTCTTAGAGATAATAATTTCATGATTTTTTTAGTTATTTAAAATCATATTTTTCAATTTATTCAAGTTAACAATCAATGTAAAAAAAAAAAAAAATATAAAAAAATATAAATGATTCTTAAATGTATTGCTAAACTTAATAATAATAATAAGTATAATGTTAGAGTTGGTACTTTTAAAGTCATAAAACATAAAAATAACAAACCTACAGAAATATTGATAGTTTTGATATAATATGAATAAAATAAATATAAATTATTAAAATATAGTGGATATTCGAGTAAACTAAATTAGTGTACCAAATATATAACCATTTATTTTTATTAATTTACATGACTTTATAATTATTACTCGAATAAAATTTCACGAAATATAAACAATAAAAGAAACATTTGTTTGGTCAACTAATATATACCTAGTAATATACATATTACATATAAAAGATTCATTTTAAATTGTTACACTTTTTGTTTCTGAAATATTTATGTTCAGTAGCTATAAGTAGCTAGCTTATCTCAATCACTCAAATAACAGTTAAATTTCTTTATTTCGTTTGTATTGTTGTATTGACATACCAAATTTTTCTATAATAGAATAAAATATTTTAATCTTAGAAAATTTGTAATGACAAGTGATGAGTGATAAGACTTGTAGGCCGAATTCAAAGATATTATGGTCCCGAATTGAAGTTGAACTCAAATTTTTAAGAATACTTTGTAAAATCAAACCAAACATGTACTGAAAAATTATGTGTGGCGTTGAACATTCAGTTCAACAGCGGAATGTACTCTTACCAAACATTTTATTTTATAACAATCTGAATATATACAGGGCGTTTGAATTATTTGGGTCGCAGTATTGTGCTAAACAGTCCCCACCCGTTCCCGGTTTCAAAATGGGGAAAAAAAGGGCTTTTGAATTAAATGTGTATTTTTCGTCAATAAAATGTATAAAAGACAAATTTCAATATAAATACTGTGAAATTTTTTATTCAAAACGTTTGATGATTTTTATTTTTTAGTTTCAATAACTATTGTTAAGTTTAGATTAATTATATAATTTAGAATTTTTTGTTCGAGTTTAGGTTTGAATCAGTTTTTAAATTTAAACCAAACACATAAATTCAGTTTTTGATTTTTTGAACATTGACTAGTTTGACCATCTTCTACATAATACAGTTGTGTAAATTGATTATTATGTTTTCTRTACAAACTTTAATTTGTGTATCAATATTGCATACCCATATCGCCGCGTTACAAAATAATACATTTTTAATAATATTATTAATTATTAATGCAGACTTCTATAATTTATAGGTAGACACTTATTTTTAAGTAAATTAAAAAATAAATATTTATTTGATATCACATATTCAATTAACTAAACACGATAATTGTTAATTTAAAAAATATTTTAATCTATTCATGTAATATAATATATGTCTGAGAAATATATTTGTTAATCCATCTGACGAAATAAAATATTTTAATGTCCAATTTTGATAATGTAAATAATACATTAAGTTGTAAAAATTAACATTATTATTATTTTTTTTTTTAATGTAAATGGAACCCGTGGCAACATAGGCCATTGGTTGTGTGGTGGTACGCGCGGTAGGGGGTTATTTTTGTGTATTTTTTCGTAGGTTTTTAAGTGGGTAGGGTTGTAACACGTATTTGTATACGTGTGGCAAGGATATGTTGCTAAAAATCCCGGATGGTCACCCATCCGGGAGCTAGCAACTGTGGCCTGTACGTACGCTCAGTGTATTTTTCCGCAGATTGAGCGTACGACCGCGCCTTACATTATTATTATATTTATATTTAAAATGTATAAATTGTATAAAATAAATTAAGTGTTATATATAATTATTGCATTTTAGCCTAATTTAATTCATATTTGATAAGTAGCTAAAGATTTATTTAGAAATCTAATTTATAATACAATTTAATATTTAAAATATTCAAACTTTATTTAATTTTATATCTATATATAAAATACATAATTGTATACTCAGGAAGTAAAGTTCTTTTTTTGGTATTAAACTATTTACACATTTTTAAATTTTCGTTTACAAAATTTTAAAATATTGTGATTGCTTTATTATTTTTATTTAATGTGCATTCAAAAGTATAAAAAATAAATTTATTCTTAATATTTAACACTTTAAAAATAATTGAATCCATGTCAAAACGAATTTACTTGAATAATTAGTGGTAGAATATGTATCACTATTTCCAGTTATCCAAAACATTTTCTTGATAGTTATTGAATGATTTGTTCATGAATATTATTTTTTGTTCATTTTAATAAACTCATTCTTAATTTTATCCCCAAAGAGTATGTTATTTGGAATACATTCTGCATTGAACAGAATTATATAAAAAAAAATTCCGATTTCTCTATTTTATGTTAGAAACTAAAACAAACGTTACCCAAGCAAAAACCATTAAATTTAAATAATATGGGATTCTTATGCATAAGGTATTTCTGTATATTATTCATTGATTGCACATTATTTGAGTATGCCATGATGCCATCAATTGAAATAGGAGATGAATGGATCAGCATACTAATCAGTGAATGAATGTCTAAAACATTCCATTATTCGCAATATACAATTTCTATTTTATTTTTGAACCTATAATATTTAGTAGGTAAGCATTTTTATATCATATAAGCACAGTAAAACCAACACTGTATAAAGAACATATTTCAGAATTTGAATGTACAATTCATCCAAAATATAATGTTGTCTGATACCTACACGTCAGCACAAAAAACCATACACATACATAATACTATTACACTATCGTCTATCATAATATTATTAAATATATTAGTTTATGACTTATAAAATACACTGTGATTCTCTATATATGATTAGGTTCTTCTATATTATTCATGAAGTATAAATTATAGTTTCCTTAAAAGCTTGATTTAAAATAAAAATTTCCCTTATTGCTACTAAATTAAATTTTTTTTAATGAGTTCACATCTAAAATAAATCAAAAACCAAATTCAATCGAGTAGTTTGTGTATGACTTATTAAATTACATATACAAAGAATACTAATCATTAATCATTACCTATGATCCTTGATAATAGGTTATTAATGTAATATAGGGGATATAGTTCAAAATTAATAACAAAACAGAC